GGGAAGTCAATATCCTAAAATGAAAAAATCAGGAAAGAGCAATATAAGTCTAATATTTAAAAGCATGGAAGTAAATATAAAACTATTAACATTAAGCTAAAAGAATAGAAAGTGGTTGCATGTGACGGGGAACGAATGGGGAGGCACATCTTTTATAACAAACCTTTCAGAGCTATTTACTCTGTGAATATTGAGAAATTATAACCTTGTTAAAATTAAAACTGATTTTAATAGATAATATGCATGAGACATGCACTTAATTTAAAAACATTATGTTTGTGAATGATATTAGTCACTCTTGATTATAATTTTTAGTAAGTCCCTTTAGCAATTTCTAAGAAAAAAAATTTTTTAATGAGTCTGCTAAATAGAAATGCAAGAAATGTACTCTTAGGGATTAGTTATAACTGCAGCTACATGCAGAGCTCCATTATCATCTGGAATATCACCACATTTCTGATAATATCCTGGAGTAAACTAAGCAACTTAGGAATTGAGTTTCTTTTAAAAATGATCAAACATTGATGTTGATTTTTAATCTGTCCCCATAAAGAAAACATAAATTTGTGTGGGGAACTTGATTATACTAAATTAACAGGTATAGGTAAGAAATTGTTTTATTTTATCAAAACACTAAGCAAAATCTCCAACAAACACTGCTTTCCCTCTTCAGCCAACTTTTGCTAATCTCTGGTTGTTTCTTCAGCCAGCCTGCATTGCCGGGTTATTCTGGTGCTTCTAGGACACATCCCATCTCTGCATCTGAGCTGTCACTCTTCATGTCTCTCTCCCCTACCTTGACCCATTCTTCCTAAGCCTCTGAATACCTGATCAGAATGGTCCCAGAATATTGAAACCTAAGGCTGCGCCTGTGTTGTGTCCCTCTGCTGCCCTCCCGTGGCTGGTCTATGCACTATTTCACATGGAATTTAGACTTGCCCCTTGGAATCCCAGAAGCTGTTGTACTGGAATCATGTGGGTTTGATGAGTTAGAAAAATCTTAGAATGCTCAACTTTGGGGGACATATTAGATAATCAAAAAAAAGATTTGTTAAATCAACTGATATTTACTGAGCATGTATCACGTTCCAGGCACTGTTCCAGGTGTTTGGAATATAAGCAAAAACAAGAGTGAACAATTTCTGGCATCTTCCCCCTCAGGACAGTGGCTCAGCATGGGGCGGTTCAGCAAAGATGCAACACAGTAAAGAAGGTGCCCAGATGTGGGGGGAGAGGAAGCCCAATGTTGGGTATTAGAACCTGAGTGGAGAGCATCTATTCCATGGTGTGGCAGTGTTGGGAGATTGGTTACAGACAGGCAAATTAATCACACACATACACATACTAAGAATGCATTTTAAGGATACTAAGGACAATGGAAACCAGGTTTCTCACTGTCAGAGAAGGGAGTTATCAACACGAAAAAGGAGAAAACTTGAATAAACCCTGTGGTATGGGATTAGAATTGGAGGGATTGATGTGAATTCAATATAAATAGATAGCTATAGAGATAAATATTATGTAAATACACATATCTTCTAGCTCTGTCCATTGATGAGGATGGTGAAACTCTAGTGCCTGGATCTTGTTTTTTTAAATGCCATTATCCAGTCTGAGGAATTAGGGCTTTTTGGAGAAATGGCTGATTCTGGGCTGGAGCAGGAACAGAACAAAGTGAGCCTTAGAGCATCTTGTGTCAGAAAACAAGAAAATGCTCAAAGAATTTGTAGGGCCATTACAAAATCACACAGAAGCTAGCTTGCAGGGGTTCTACTGGCCAAATCAGGGACAATGTGAACATTAAAACAAATCACAATACTGGATTATAATTCGTTATAATTTGAATACAGTAAGAAGCCATGGGGCCATTCTGATGTAACATAATATATAAATTGAAATGTTGATGCGGAACAGCCTCAAAGTATCTTAACCTCCTCGAAAATACTTTACAGTAAAGGTAACTTGCAGGCATCACCTTAAGTGATCAGAGTGAACATCATCAGTAATAGAATATTTCAGAACTACATGCCACTTGAGAGGATGTGATGAGAAGAGCACAGCATCAAATATCACTTCTGCAGTAGTGTATTTCTGCCACAGATGCATAACCTAATTTAATCAGGAGAACATAAGAAAAAGAAAAACTTGCCCAGCTGGCATGGCTCAGGGGTTGAGCATTTCCCTGGGATCCAGGAGATCACGGTTCCATTCCTGATCAGGGCACATGCCAGGGCTCTGGGCTCAGTCTCCAGTAGGGGGTGTGCAGGAGGCAGCCGATTAATGACTCTCTCATCATTGATGTTTCTCTCTCTCTGCCCCTCTTCCTTCTTCTCTCTGAAATCAATAAAGACATATTTAAAAAAAAAAAAAGGAAAAAAAAACTTTAGTACATTTTACAACACAACCTGTTTGTGTTGTTCAAAAGTGTTAAAGTCTTAAAAGTCAAGAAAAAAACCTGAAGAAAATATCCAGATTGAAGGAAACTAAAGAAGAAGAAAAAAGTCAACCAAATATAACACATGATTCTGAATTAGATCTTTTTACTATGAAGAACTGATGGGGACAATTGATGAAATCAAATGAGATCTGTTGATGATCAGGTGGTATGTTAACTTCCTGACTTGGATGATGTTTTGAGACTACTTAGGAATTACACACTGAATGAATCAGGACGCTGGACACCGTGTTGACAGTTTCCTTTCAAACTATTCAGAAGAAATAACAGAACTCTGTACTGTACTTGCATCTTATATATTTTAGGAAAGATTGAGATTATTTTAATGTCTTCAAAAAGTGGAAAAAAGTCTTCTTTTGGAGGTTATATTTCAGCGAGAAGAGACAAATTAAAAAATAAGTGAAGTATTAGTCTATCAAATGGTTAGAGGCTTAGTCCAGGGGCACTCCCACAGTTAGAAATTGAATAGCAGAGAAAGAGCCAGCCAAGGACTGAGAGCAATCAGTGGGGCAGGACATGAGCACGGAGAAGCTGAAGGAGAAGGTTTCCTAGAAGCATGAAGTGATTGTCTCTGTAGATGGCCCCAAGGAGTGGTGAGAGGGCACAGTGAGAATAGCGGACAGATTAAGGGTTGAAAAGAGAATGGGAGGTGATGACATGGAGCTGGTGAGTATAGATACCTAGCCTCAGAAGCGTTGCTGTAAAAGGGAGCAGAGGATGTTGTGGTAGTTGGAGGGTTATGTAGGGTCCACGGAGAATTCTTTGTAGTGGAGGCTACTAGTGCAGCTTGGACAATGACAAGGGTGATTCAGCAACGGGGGAGAAACTCAGGATGCAGGAAACACTCAGCCTAACTTGGAGCAGTGAGAGGGATGCGATGGAGATTGCATGTGGAGACACTGCCTTTGGCAGGAGCAGAAGCCCTCATCCCAGTAATAGCAGGGAGGGAAGGAAGGAAGAGTGGACCTAGGGGAAGATGTGACCCCTGTATGGTGACAAGGAGGGGATAATTTTGTATGAGATTGTTTCTGTTCTCTCAGTGTAATATGAGGCCAGAGATGGGTAGAAGGTGTGCTGGGGCTTTGAAAAGAGGAGGGGGTGTCATCTTGAAGGGTGTCAGCCGGTTTCTGTTCTGAAAGAGCTGCATTTAATACCAGTCTTTGCAGGTGACACACATGATCTCTGCTACTCAAATTGATAATCCTTGGGTCTGGCTTCGAAAAATCTGCAGGTGTTTTGTGATTATTTCTGGTATTACGTTTCTCATCATTTGCAAGCTGACTGCCATTTATGAAAGATACTGGAAGTCAGAGGAAATCGCCACAATCCAACTACAATTATCAGGGGATTTTATTAACAAGGATCGAAATGATGACTCAGTAATGAAGAAACCGACAGACACCCCCTCAGAATGACCTTAAACTAAACCTGGATGCCTTTAGGCCTTTTAAAAGTTTCTGGAGCACTTTTAAATAGAAATAAATTGTGGCTTTATAAAAATTAAAATAAAATAAAAAAGAGAGAAGGAAAAGTAAAATAGAAATATTCATTTTGGAGAGTGGGGACACTAACCCAAAAGGACTGCAGAGACGTGACTAAAATGGCCCGCAGACTCGAGGGCCCATGTGAGATTTGTGGTTACGAATTTAAAGTGAGATCTGTGAGCATGCTTGTGGAGTTTTTCCCCAGCAATACCCAGCTGTTTGGGTACAGGTGAAGATATAAGGAAACTTTAAGAGGGCCAAATCAGTTTTTTCAAATATACATATTTTTTTCTTCAGAGATACTAGAGGGGTCTAAACGAAGAAAGACAAGGTATGAGGCCTTTAATGAAAATGTTTTTTTTTTTCTTTTTGCAACATGATAATTTCACACCGGTGGTTGTTAATTAGCAATTATTTCAATACTTTCAAACTCATTTGCCTCTAGTTTTAGTCAAAATGCATAAATCTAAGCTTATGAAATTAAGAAACAGAAACAGCTAATCTAATCCTTCTTGATAGTCCTTCATGATCAGCAAGATGCATAAAAGAGTTTTCTAAATTTTATAAATTGTGAGTTCATTTTTAAAGCTGTATAAAAGCAACATTTCTAAGAAAACATTTAACCAAAGGTCACACTTAATGAAAACAAAATTCTTCATTCAAGTTGTCTCCATTTTCAGCTATCTGACATTCTGCTCCTTTGCAAATTTGAATTGCCCAACAAAGAATGATAATCTTTTACCGTTTGGGAGACGACTAACCAGGTGGAGACCTTGAATGCCTACACAGCTGAGATTTTGCCTAAGATCAATGAGTTTTAAGAGAGTCTTTTGTTACATATTTATCAAATATTGAGGAGTACTTGTATTATTCAAGATGAAGTCTGGGTTATTTCTTTGATTAAGAATTGAATGTACTGGAGATGTATTTGATAATCAAGATGTTAGATAAATTTTCACTCGCATAAGTTCTATTAGCAAATTGAAACACGTTGTAGGCTTACTATCCAGTAGTAAACACATTAGAAAACATTAGCCTCTTAGAAGAAAGACCACATTTTATTCCTGCTTCTGTAAAAAGTTTATTTGTTTCAAAGAACAGTATTGTGAGCTTTTACTAAACTACTACTACTCCCTAAATATGAAAGAAGAGACAAAATGAGCTGAAGAAGTAAAATTCCAGTTACACTCCACATCCTTGAATATACTGAGTGAGATCCCGGTTTTGACAACGATTTCTCCAAGCCACCCTGTAGGGAAAGGTAAAACAAATGGTGATAAGTTTAAAGCATATCTTCATTGTAATATATATATCAAGTCCTTTGGGAGAACAAAATATTTTATCAATATATGAAATACAGGCTATTGATAGATCCAGGTATTGCCATCTATTAAATGGAGACATGTACATCAAATACTTTACTTCTCCCCAAAGCCTGCGCTAAAGCATAGAATGCTGACCATGGCAGTCACGTACTTTCCCCAACAGCAGCTGCAAAGTACATTCCACATTTACCTCATTCCAAAAAATGTCAAAATATGACAAGGAACTTGTAGAATGTGGAGAATCTTAAAAATTCTAGAAATTCCCCCAAATAATTGCAGGAGTAAGAGAAAAAGATTCTGAATCAGTTAAAATAAATTGCTTCTAAGTGATACATTGTTTGGCATGAGTCTAAAGCTGCAGCGTTCAGTTCTCAGTAGCATACTGTGGTCTTTGAGAATCTCTCCCTTCTCTCCTAACAGTAGGGTAAAATAGCTTTCCCCTTTAATGCTTAAACATACCATGCTCTGATGCCTTGTGGGTCGCTGACAACCCTCTTTGCACACGCTACAGCTTGAGTGATGTCATCTTGCAGCAAAACTGAAAAAGAGGTGGTGAGGAATGAAGACAACTTTCACAGAAGTTTTCATTTCAAGTTTAGGTTTAGCCAGATTTATTCTCTTAGGCTGAGGAATGGACACTAAAATTCTTTTCCACAAGTTATGTATCAGTGGATGTTGGGGGAAAATTTTTCTTCATTCCATCCCATTTGGCATGAAATAAAGCATTCTGTTTCTCATTTATCGAAGTCATTGGAAGCTCTGGAATTATTAACTAATGTGATAAATGGTTCTCTTTGTAATAGGCACTATAAGAAGAAAAAGAGGAACGAACCTAGTAATTTTTTTTTTAATATATCTTTATTGATTTCAGAGAGAGGAAAGGAGAGGGAGATAGAGAGATAGAAACACCAATGATTTGAGAGTCATTGATCGGCTGCAGCCCACAACCTGGGCATGTGCCCTGACCGGGAATCGAACCCCGATCGCTTGGATCCTAGGTCGATGCTCAACTGCTGAGCCACGCCCAGCCGGGTGAACCTAGTAATTTTTTAAGCAGCAATTTTACTACTAGAAATTTCTTCTAAAGAAATAAAAAAAAATGCACCCAAAGATGTACACACAAGGCATTTCATCACAATTAATAAAAGGTAACAATGGAAATAGCTTAAATGCTAACAGTAAGAGTTGAGTCAATAAATTATAGAATAATTATACAGAGCAATTCTATCCATCCTTTAAAAATAATAAATATTGCCTGGCCGGCCTGGCTCAGCGGTTGAGCATTGACTTATGATCAGGCAATCATGGCTCGATTCCCGGTCAGGGCACATGCCCGGGTTGCAGGCACGATCCCCAGCAGGGGGCGTGCAGGAGGCAGCTGATCAATGACTCTCATTGATGTTTCTATCTGTCTCTCTCCCTCTCCCTTCCTCTCTCTGAAATCAATAAAGATATATTTTAAAATAAACAAATAAATAAATATTAGCCCTGGTTGGTGTGGCTCAGTGAATAGAGCGCACCAAAAAGCCATGGGTTCGATTTCTGATCAAGGGCACATACCCGGTTTGCAGGTTCAATCCCAGCCCTTGTCAGGGCTCTTGCGAGGCAACCAATCCATATGTCTCTCTCACATGGATGTTTTTCTCTCTCTTTCTCTCCCCCTCCCTTCCTTCCACTCTCTCTCTAAATCAATGGAAAAAATATCCTCAGGTGAGGATTAACCAAAGATAAAATAATAAAAATAATAAAGATTGGTTTGTTTTTTTTTAAATATATCTTTATTGATTTCAGAGAGAAGAAAGGAGAGAGAGAGAGGTAGAAACATCAATGATGAGAGAGTCATTGATTGAGCCCATAACCTGGGCATGTGCCCTGACCAGGAACCGAACCCCAATCACCTGAATCCTAGGCCGACGCTCAACCACTGAGCCACACCCGGCAGGCAAGATTGGTATTTTTTAACATAGAAATAGTTTTGTGTGATAAAGAGCAAATCGTAAAGCAGTATATATAGTACAATTTCATTTTTTTAAAACACACATTGCTTACATGTTTATATGTAGGTATATTTGTATATGATATAGTTTTAGATTCATATACATGATTGATATATATTCCAAAAGAATATATACCAAAAGTTACCAGTAGTCATAAATCTCTTGGTAGTAAGAATTTTTATTCAATGACCACAGATATTATATAATACAAAATATTTTTTAAATAAATTAACTGGATACAAAAGAACATTCTAAGAATAATCTTTTCTATTAGTAATTTTAACATTTAGAAATTTAATATCAATTTTACAATACTCCAATATTTCTATTTTTATGAGTTTATTTTATTTTATTTTTTAAAGTCAGTGTCTCTTTTTTTAATCTTCTCCTGAGAATATGAGTTTGTTTGTTTTTTAATTTTAGAGAAAGAGGAAGGGAGAGTGAGAGAGAAAAGCATTGATCATTTGCCTCCTGTACACACCCCAAATGGGGATTGAACCCGCAACCTAGGTATGTGTCCTGACCAGGGATCAAACCTGCAACCTTTTGGTGCACTGGACAACTCTCCAACCAACTGAGCCACCCGCCCAGGGCAGGATGGAGTTTTCTGAGGTTCCTGATGAACTTTTCAAAACCTTTTCATTTGTGTTGAATCTGTATTCTTGTAAGTATAACCCGATGGTCCTGTGTCATCACTCAAACGTTATTTTTTCTTACCGTTGCAGGATATACGACAGGCGTTAGCTGCGCTTGGGGTTTTGCCATCATTGCACCAGTAGCGGCTATTGATCTGAAATATCCCATAATCAGTGCTTTTGCTTCCAGGATTGTAGTTTGTAGCTCTTGTGTTGTAACTGCTTTCCCATTTGGCCAAACACACCCCTGAAAAGAACTTCTTTTTAGTAACAAATAGCAACACCTCATGACTTATACTGCATACTATAATCAGCTCTATATAGCTACTTCTATTTTACTAATGACTTACTTTATAAGTATAAAGGTGTAGAACAGGAAAGACTCATCCTTCCACCCACCCATATATCATTCAAACTGTTCACTCATTCATTCAAAAATAGTTATTAAGGGGAAATGTTTGAATTCAATCTAAAACTACAGTGATAACATTGACAAATATGGACTAAAATAGAAAATAACTTTTACACAGGTACATCTTGTATGGTGTGGAAGAAAATGAAAACAGTTAATCCACTAGAATGAGTAAGAATAATAAAATATCATTTCACGTTGCATTTCAGGGATTCTGATATAAACAGTGATTGAGTGGAAACAGGTTCCTACTGCTTCTGTATTGAGATTTCAACTTAATTTTAAAAAAAAACACAACTTTGCTATTAAAAGCCTCGTGTCATGCATGAGAATAAAAAAAGAGAAAAATACTGCAGTATACTAGGCTCACCGAACCCAAATTCCACCCGGGAAATAGCTGGAATCAAGTACCAAAGACTTGACAGAGATTTCTCAGGGCTCAAGCATCTTAGCCTACCTGTGCCACCGAGTCTGGGGCAACCGGCAGATTTAGTGGCACTCAAAGAATACAACGGTTCGTGGTTTATTTAGAATGGTACAGAATTTTGCCCTCCCAGGCCCTCACTCCTTCATCTGGTATATCTGATTCCAAAGGAACAAGGTGATGTGAGTTTTTTCCCAACCATTTTAAATATACAAACACTCAAAGGAAAAAAATTTTAAAGCCCATTCACTCAAAGCCCCTTTCTTATCATTCATCCTCTATCAGTACCTGTTGCACATCTGACCGACTATTGGGAAGCGTGAAGAAGAGTTAACTTACAGTCTGCCAGCTTCACTCCCCTGAAGCCATCCATTCCAAGCCTTTTCAGAGTCCTGGCCAACTCACACCTTTCATAGACCTTGCCCTGGACGGCGACAGAAAGGAGGAAAAGCCCTAGAATGAGGAAAGCCTTCATGTTGCCTGAGCAGCCAGACCTCTAGGCTGGCCTGGGTAGGCTCGCCCCGGTATTTAACATCTTTTAACTTCCTTCTTTCCCAGTGGTTTGGAGGCTCCACCCTCTGAGATGTGGGGAAAACAGGAACAATTTTTCTTGGTTCACCAACTTTCAAAGGTTAAAAGAATTAACCGACAGGAAAATGAAGAAATGACATTGTTTAAAGCCCTGGCTCAGGAAGAATTTGTATTGGCACTGTTTTCAAAACAGGAACTTTCTCTTACTGTATTATGGATTTGAGCAACTATAAAGGAAAAAAAACAAACACTTGACACAGACCGAAAATGGGCTCTAATCTTTGATTAACATTCATTTCATTAAATTGTTCTGTGTGCATTCACTATGCTGTTTTTACTTTTTTTCACTTCAAATTATTTTATGTACTCTTTGCACAAAAGAACATAGCACATTGTCGTTTTAATAGGTATGTAGCACAACACCATGTTGCTCGGCCAGATTTCTACTCTAACTTTTTTTGTTACTCTGATACATTTTTTTGTTTATAAATAAACCTCATGTGAACAACACTCCAACTCCTTTTCAACAGTGCCTTACCTCAGATTTCCATGTTAAAACAGAGGGGTCATTATAAAGTAGGGGAACTTTATAATCACACCTACAGAAGAATAGCAGAGTATGCCACTCAAAACTCTGCCCCTTTGCCAGAAGGATTACTTTGAGCTGAAGGCAACTGAGAAGAAGCATATCCACAAAAAGTTCTCTCTGAACTATCTGCCTGAGAACAGAACATAAATTTGTACAGAAGCTAATAACGTACAATCCTAGATGCTCATCAGCCCGGAGGGAGCACAGAACAAACTTTATTGACTAGCTATTTTCTCCCATTAGTTCTCCATATATTTAGCATCCCGCAGTTTGCTGCCCTTGGAAGCTGAAGACTCTTTTCCTCTGTCTCATTTCTCTAAAAATGTATTATTCTTGGTGAAGATGCTATGTAAGCCCAAATTCTAGCCACCTCTTTTACTCATCCCCGAATTTCTCCCGAGTATATATGAGATGTGCATAGTAATAAGCAGGTTTGTTTTCTCTTGTTAATCTGTCTTTCGTTACAGAGTCTCAGCTGAAACCCTAAAAGGGTAGAAGGGAAGAGATTTTTTTTTCCCTCCTGTGCAGTTTCTGGCAATGAGGATGGGACAGTAAAAGACAGGGATGTCCCACTCTCCCTAGAGACTACAGTTGAGATGTGGGGCAAATGACAACAGATAGCAGAAGGTAAGAATTCTTACTGTGTCAGTGTCCCATGTAGGACTAGTCAAGAGAGGAAGATAAAAACTTCTCCTAGTCTCTTCCTTTCCAAATTTCTACTGGCAGGAGAAAAACATTTGTAAAAATAGATCTGGAATTGTGACTCTTGTAATTTGGTTTGGGGCACCCATAGGTTATTGATTCTTAGCCTGCCAGAAATTAGTCATGTTTTCTTTTTTCTCTGTCTTTTGTGTCATTTTTCATAAGGATGAAAATCATAAGATGAGCATCTCCATTTGTCTTATTTTATGTACCCAAAACTTCCATTTGTAACCAGTGAGAATACTCTCTGGTTTCTGCCACTTGGGGGTGAAGAGAGGGGTAGATTATTAAGCTTGGATCAGGCAGCTCGCCAGCTGGCTAGGAGCCTAAGACATGTGACAAGCAGTACTCTCTTTGTCCAAATGTGCCAGCTTTCAGGGAAGATTGTCTTAATAAAGAGAACCAGTATATAAAGGACCATTGTCATCTCTACCTCTGTTACCTTATTTGTACTGGGAAAATTCCCATCTCAGTATCACCTTTCCAGTAACGCAGATGAATGGGTCTGTGATTTAAAGTGTCTCACTTTGTGGGAGATAGAAGTTTCTTTACTACCTGTGACAATGAGGTCTTTGCTTTCTTAGGCTATCTTTGGAGTAGCTCTGCATCTTGAGAAATCTGCATCTTTTACATGCTCTTTGGAGACAGCTCTTGTGTCCATGGTTAAGCCATAAAAAGGCTTATTGGTATGAAGTGACAATTGAAATAGATATATCTTTGAAGATCTGGACTTTCACATCTAAAAGGATTTTCTAGAGTTCGTATCCTAAACAAATTTGAGGAAATTGGAGGAAAGAAAGAGAGAAAGGAAGGGAGGGAGGAAAGGAGGAAAATAGATACAGAAGAATGCCTTAGTTGGTGTGTGTTGGGGGAAATGAATGGGAGAGGATATTCACAAACAACAACTCTGACAAGGGGTTAATATCCAAAATGTGTAAAGAACACATACAGCCTGGCCGAGCGTGGCTCAGCAGCTGAGCATCAACCTAGGATCCAGGCCATTGGGGTTCGATTCCCGGTCAGGGCACATGCCCTGGTTGCCGGCTCGATCCCCAGTCGGGGGCATGCAGGAGGCAGCCGATCAATGACTCTCTCATCATTGATGTCTCTCTCTCGCTGGCTTGCTCCCTCCCTCTCCCTTCCTCTCTCTAAAATCAATAAAGATATATTTAAAAAACTAACAAAAAACACATACAACTTAAGACCAAACAAACAAGCAATCCAGTTTAAAAATGAGCAGAGGACCTGAACAAGGCACCTCTCCCAAAAGGAGAGACGAACAGCCAACAGCTATCTGAAAAGATGTTCAACCTCACTAGCTATTAGGGAAATGCAAATCAAAACTACAGTGAGATGCCATCTCACACCTGTTAGAATGGCTGCTGTCAACAGGACAAGTAATTACAAGTGTTGGCGACGTTGTGGAGAAAAGGGAACCCTCATTCACTGCTGGTGGGAACGTAGACTGGTAAAGCCACTATGGAAAACAGTATGGAGGCTCCCCAAAAAATTAAGAATAGGGTTATCATATGACCCAGCAAGCCCTCTTCTGGTTATCTAACCCCCAAATTTGCAAACATTTATTCACAAAGATATACGCACCCTTATGTCATTGCAGCACTATTCATGGCGGCCAAGACATGGAAACAAAGTGTCCTTCGATAGGTGATTGGATGAAGAAGACTTGGAACATATATACAATGGAACACTACTCAGCCATAAGAAAAGATGAAATACTGCTCTGGCTGGTGTTGCTCAGTGGTTAGAGCATCGTCTTGTGCACCGAAGGGTCTCAGGTTAGATTCCCAGTCCAGGGCTCATACCTGGGTTGCAGGTTTGATGCCCAGCCCTGGCCGGGGCTTGTGTGGGAGGCAACCAATCAATGTGTCTCTCTCACGTGGATGTTTCTCTCTCTCTCCCCTCCCTACCTTCCACTCTCTCTAAGGATCAATGGAAGAAATATCCTCCAGTGAGGATTAACAACAACAACCAAAAGATGAAATACTGTCATTTGCAACAACATGGATGGATCATGAGAATATCATGCTAAGTGAAATAAGTCAGAAAAATCTAAGAACCATATGATTTCACTCATATGTGTGATATAAAATGGAAAGCAACCAATGAACAAACAAACAAAAATTCATAGACACAGACACCAGTATTGTGGTTGCCAGAGGGGGGGGCGATGAGGGAATAGTAAAGGGGAAAGGGGACCAAATATATGGTGACAGAAGATTTGACTTTTTGAGTGGTGAGCACACAATGCAATATACAGATGATGTATCAGAATTGTACACTTGAATAGAATTGCATATAATTTTATTAATCCAAATCACCCCAACAAATTTAATTTTTTTAAATGCAAAATCAAACAAAAAAACAAAACAAAAACATGAAAACCCCCAAACATTAGAAGATGGAGATCAGGCTTAAAGCAAATGTCAAAACTGTAAGTGATACTAAGCATGTGTGAAACTTACATAAATACTGGTAGCCAGGAAATAGCTTTGACAAAGGCCCAGAAAAATGCAACAAAGACTTGATTTAATGAGCCTTACACTGTAAGCAGACCCCAGTGTCCAGGACTTCCTATACAGGGTATCCCCAAAAAATGTATACACACTTGGGTGGGGAGAGATTAATCTGTGTCCATGGGTTACACATGTATACATAACCCATGGACACAGACAATAGTGTGGTGAAGGCGTGGAAGGGGGGTGGATGCAGGGTAGAGGGGGTCAATGGGGGAAAAAAGGGACATCTGTAATACTTTCAAGAATAAAGATAACATTTTTAAAAATGTATACACACTTTAATAGCTGATAGCTGTAGATTCTATTACATTTTGAAAATGAATTGTATTCTGCCTTCATAATTATTCAAAGTATGTATACATTTTTGGGGGGACACCCTGTATTTTGGGCCTTCACTAAAAAAAAATTCATTGGGCTCATACCCTTAAAGAAAAAAACCTGAAATAGTTATTATCCTTGATTTCTGATAATAGGCAAATGTGCCCCTGAGTTCCTTCTTAGATAAAACCTACTTCCTTTATCAGTCCTTTGGAAATATTAATCTTTCCATGTCTTTAAAATGTAAGCATCCAAGGAGATAAGTGTTGGTTAAAGCAACTGCTAAGACAGGGGGCAAAGGGGAGTTTAAAAAACAAACCGCTCCTTGATATTTCCATAGGCTCCTTTGACCAAAATATAGTCCACAGACTCTGTAAGATTACCTATTAAAGACAAATAAAAATTTTCAAAGTGTTCTCCAAAATATTGGTACAAAGCTTTAGTCATCTGAGTAGGTAAACTTAACTTGTTCCATCTGCCAAAAACACCATTTAGACCCAACTATTCTTTTATAAGCTAGTTGAGTTTTGTATTATAGTACCTCTATATTGTAGCTAACTTTTAAAATAAAAACTCTGAGGTATCTGTTTGCATCTGTCTGTATTTTTATGTGTGTCTGTTATGTATGTTATTTTTCTCTCTCCAGATATTTCTAAAAACTAACTTGTAAAAGAGCTCTTTTTAAAAATTGGCTTAAAGAAAATATAAGCACTTATAATAATTAAGGCTAGTCAAATAAGCTTATGTTATCTCTGCCAGATGTTTGAGACTGTAAAGTTGTAAATTCAACCTAAGAACAAAATATGCAATAAAGATGATTTGCTTAATGTATGTTAACATGGCAGGGAGGAAAAGCCATATGTTTAACTTTTTAAGTTCTTTGTTTTTGTGATTTTTGCAAGGGAAGTAAGATGTGTTTTTGGTAGCAAAAGGTTTGAAGTTTGAGGATACACTTTTGTTAAAAGAAAAGAAGAGTCATTTTGTCCTAATTTAGAGGTTATTTAAAGATTATTTTAGAGTAGGAAAAAAGAGGGTAAAGGGTAAAACCTAAATAGGTATAGGAAGCGTGGAAAAGAGAGAGAGATGAAGGGAAAAGAAAAGGTAGGGCTTCTTATCTTGTGTAGTTAAGCTGGTGAAAATGGAATTAATTTATTATAAGCATTTTTAAAATAAGCTTTAATAGCAATAGTGTGCCCGTGCAAAACTTGAATTTAATTTTCTCTCTGTGTTAAAATAAGAGATTCCTTTGGACAACAGCGTGGTGATTGGGGGAGGGGTAAGGGGAGGAGGGCATGGTGTTGGAAAAAATAAAATAAAATAAAGTAAAATAAAATAAATAATTAAAAAATAAAATAAATATAAAGAAACATGTTTCTCTTTACCTTTTAAGTAACTTGCCTGGGAAATGAGGAGTCTGTGTCTTATCAGGATAATTACCTGTGCTTCAAGGTTCCTTATCAGGTCTTTAACTACTTAAGAAAACCCACTCCTTTCAATATTCAAAGAGGTAAGGTTTTTTCCTCAGGTGTTAGTTCCTTGGATTTGCCTCTGATACTACACTAGATCTTAGCCAAAAGGCTGAGAATCGATTGTGTATTGGCCTTTGAAATCTCTTATTGTTGCTTTGGTTAAATAAGTAACTAAGTATTATTGCATAGTAACCTGTGATCCTGTTTAACCAGTGTTCCAACTTTTTAACATTTTTTTACAACTTCCCAAAATCAAATTCTAAATCAAGTCTCCTGGACCTTAAACTGACTCTGAGATTTCCCAAATGGCCTCTGGACAATCTCAAAGGTTTGTTCTCTGTCCTTATAAATAGAGACATGTTAAACTCATCAGGTTTATTTGATATGTTAAATTACATGGGAAACACGTCAAATGC